TTTATATAGGTACTAAAGAGTTTTTATAAAATATAGACTTCTTGAGCGATCTAAAAAGCAAAATGAATACTTTAGTATCCAGGGTACCGAAAAAGTGTGCCAGAACTTCCCTTTTTGCCCTACTGGTGTTGAGATACCTGAAAGTAGCAATAATGAAGAATTAGATGAGGATGAAGAATGGGAAACTGAAGAAGAAGAAGAATATAAAAAAGAACATTTAATAAGTCAAACATACTTATATTAAAAGATTTATAACAATAATGATAATCCCTTATGTGAATGTTACTTTGAAAATCAGACTGAAGAAGTAGAAAATAAAACTTTTAATTTAGATAACATGAATGAAGAGCAAAAACGTCTTATAAAAAACTTACTATTAAAATATAAAGATGTTTTTGCTTGAAATTCGAAATTAGGTAAAACTAATGTAATTCAACATGAGATCTTTACTGAAGAAGGACCTCCAATTAGACAACATTTTATCCTACATCAAGAGTAGAACATGAATTTATTAGTCAAGAAATAAAAAGAATAAAAGAAGAAAATTTAATTTGTCCTTCTATTAGTTCTTGGGCTTCACCAGTAGTATTAGTAAAGAAAAAGAATGGTAAATTACGGTTTTGCGTAGATTACCGTAAACTTAACAAAATAACTAAGCATGATAGTTATTCACTACCACGAATAAACGAATTATTGGGTACTCTTAAACAATCGGCGCATTATACTACACTTGACTTAGCTAGTAGTTTTTGGCAAGTCGAAATGAATCCTCATGATCGTGATAAAAACGGCTTTTATAACTAAATTCAGATTATACGAATTTAATGTTATGCCCTTTGGATTAAGGAATGCTCCGGCTATATTCCAACGATTAATGGATAAGGTCCTTTATAATATTTTGTAGAAATATGCACTTGTATATATTGACGATGTCAATATATATTCTTCCACATTTAAAGATCATCTACTTCATGTAGAAGATGTGCTCATAAGATTAAGGACAGCTAATTTAAAACTAAATTCAGAGAAATGTTATTTTGGTCAAGACAAAATAACATTCCTTGGTTATAAAGTAAGCTGTAAAGGGATTACTGCAAGTTAATGACTTCCCAGTACCTAAAAATATTAAAGCCTTAAAAAGTTTTCTAGAATTGGCGGGTTTTTACAGAAGGCATATTAAAGATTTTTCTAAAATAGTAGCTCCCTTATTCAAACTATTAAAAATTAAAGAAAAATATAAGTGGAGTAATGATCAACAACAGGCATTTGAAAAATTAAAAGAGTCATTAACTTCATTACCTATCCTTGCTTATCCAAATGACAATGAAGAATATATATTATACACAGATACTTCACATCTAGCTATAGGCGCCATTTTATCACAAAAAGGTGATAACGGAATAGAACATGTGATCAAATACGCTAGTCGAACAACTAGTCCTGCTGAAAAAAATTATACAATTACTGAATTAGAATGTGCAGCAATTGTATAGACAGTTAAGAAGTTTTATTTATACTTACATGGGCTGCAATTCACAATTATAACTGACCACTTTGCTTTAACTTATTTAAAAAGTATAACTAATCCTACGAGTAGAATGGCTCGTTATATTATGATCTTACAAGATTATAATTTTATTGTCAAACATAGACCTGGTAAACAATTATCTCATGTTGATGGTTTATCAAAAGTCAAATCTTAAAAAAAAAAATAAAAAAAAAAAATACAGTTTAATTTAAATTCGTTAATCTAGTCCAGGTTCCAGTATCCTGGCAACTCCTAAGAATGGACTCTAATAAATACAAACAGCTAGTAGAATATTTAATGTATTCGAAGGTTCCTAAGACATTAAGCAAAGAGCAAGTTAGAAAATTTAAAATTAGAGCTAATTTTTATTTAGTTAAAGAAAATATTCTATAAAGAAAACTATATTACGAATTAACTAAACCCTTAAGAGTAATTAAATTAGAAGAAATAGAAATAGTATTAAAGAGCATGTATAAAGATCCAACAGTAGGGCACTTTGGTGAGAAAGCAACCACTTACTGAATAAGAAAAAGATTTTAATGAAAATGATATTAAGAACTTTATTAAGGGGTGTGATATATGCCAAAGAAGAGGAAGATTTAAAATTCGTGAACTCTTAGATCTAATAATTATAGGACAATCATTCGAACGTATAAGTCTTGATTTCGTCAGACCTTTACCTATAACTAAGCAAGAAAACAAATATCTAATTGTAGTCACAGAATATTTAATGAAGTGGCCTGAAGCAAGAGCTGTTTCAGACAGTATGTTGGAAACCGTCGCTTCCTTCTTATATGAAGAAATAATTTGTAGACACAGATATCCACGTAAATTAATAACCGACCATGGTTCTCATTTTGATAACAAATTAATAAAGACAACATGTAAACAATTAGGTATAAAACATATTATATCGTCTTCATATCACCCACAAGCCAATAGGTTGTAGAAAGATATGATAGAACACTTTGTGAGACTATAGCTAAATGTATGTTTTAATATAATGATGAATGAGATAAATATGTTTATGCTGCGTTGTTCGCTTATCGAACAACTAAACATAATACGACACAATATGAACCGTTTTATTTAACCTACAGAAAAGAGGTTATATTACCTATAGAATTATTTATTCCAATCTATCCTGCTGAACCCATTAAAGATGATCAAGTGCCTCAATTATTAATCAAGAGAGCTCTTGAGATAATAGATAGAATAAAAGAAACATGTACTATAGCCTGACAGACTATACGACAATCTCAAGCTAAACAAAAACGTATCTATGATGATCGTCACCAATTACATAGCTTTAAAATCGGTGACAAAATACTCCTATATAAAGCAAAGTTAGACACTTATCGGAGTGACAAATTAGAACAAAAATGGAAGGGCCTGTATTATATACATGATGTATATGGGAATGGGTCATATCAATTAAGAATGATGGATGATCAAGTTCTATTACAAACTATTCATAGAAACATATTAAAAAATTATTATGAACAATTTATTAGGGGCAGATTATTTCAAAATATTATAAAAAGAATAGTCTTTTAATGTCCCATTTACCCACTTCTTGGGCATATTATAATCAATGGTATGCAGAATTCAGGGTCCATCAAAGAAAGGTTAGAATTTATTCATTCAAAAATTCAGCCAATAATAAAAAAATTAAAGAATGGAGAAGAATTAATAATTCGTCCAAACCATGTGACTTTAAAAATCAGGAATCAAGAATATGTTAAGGAAATTAATAGTAAGAAGAAGAAGTCTCATGCTAAAAGAATACATGAAAATTTACCTTTATATATAGAAAACCTAAAAAGAAAAGGAGTAACAGAAATACTAATGTCCCATATACCTATTGGGAATAATTGGGACAAAAAATTTGCTTATTTATGTAACATATTAAAGGATGAAAAACCTAATAATCGATCTAATAGTGATTTCCTAGAAATATATTTTCAATTGGGAAAATTATTAGATGAAAAAGGTTGGTCCGACGAGGCCTTAAATATGTTAAACCTCTATTTTATTGATAGTAGAGGAAAATTAATTAGTCGAATTGCAGAAAAAACTTATCTTCTTTTTATTACCTGGTAACAAAGTAATATTCAAACCATTCAATTTCTTAATATATCCGTTTTAGCACATATTTTAGAAAAAGATTTTTATCAAGTATTATTAGTAGAAGCTAAATGGTTGAAGGATAAAGAAACTAACCTAATAAATTCGCAGGAGCTCATCCTTCAAAGAGGGGATGATATTATGCCTAATATGGAAATATATTAAATTTTCTTATTTTATCTCATTTTTATTATTATTTTATTTGTATTATGGGTTAGTAAGCCACATCGGCTGTGGGGTACAAGATCGGCCATTAGTTACGAACTATTGGAACTGGCTATCAAAAAGTTACTAACTATTAGAACTGATAGTTGTTAGTTAGTGACTACTTGAGAAAGTAAAAAACTAATAGTAAAAGTTAATAACTATCATGAAAAGTATCTAAATAATAAGATATTAGAAAAATATAAAAAGAATACTTTCCTGATATGTTTAGAGAGAAAAGTCAAATTACACTTAGAATTAGAGAATAATACCCTTTAATGTCGCTTGTAGTAGTTTATCTGAATAATGATAGTAGTTTAGTGTTGATATTAATTAGTATTATTTGTACAATTATATTTGTAATTTTACTTATCTTAATAAAATTCTGATTCTATTATATGTTAAGTATCGCTTCCCTATAAATAAAAGATCCCTTAATACTAAAAACCTGTTTCAAATAAAAGATTAATTGGTGATTCACCAGTCAACCAGAGAATGATCATAGTAAAATATGACTCAAATTACTTATAAAAATTAGGAGGGTCTCCAAATGTGGCGTGCGCGCATCTAAAACTTTTTTTTATACTAAGTTAATCACTTTTCTAACTTAAGAGACTTTTGTAGAGCTTGTCAAGACGCATATAATGGTGGGTAGAGTGTCAAAATCGGCTTGGTGGGTGCTGAGATATCTTTAAAAAACGTTTCTTTTACTATATAAACTTCTTTGCAAATAATAGTATTGTTTTCAAAAAAGTTTACATAGTAAAAGAAACATTTTTTAAAGATATCTCGGGATTCACCAAGCCGATTTTAACGCTCTATCCACCATTAGATACGTCTTGACAAGCTTTACAAAAGTCTCTTAAATTGGAAAAGTGATTAACTTAGTATAAAAAAAAGTTTTAGATATGCGTATACCACATTTAGAGACCTCCAATTTTTATAAGTAATTTGAGTCACATTTTACTATGATCATTCTTTGGTTGACTGGTGGATCACCAATTAAAAATAAATTTAATAATAGTTTTTGTATTACACATAACATCATTTAATTAACCCACATATATATTTATTTCTAAATCTCTAATTTTGATAACTATTGTTCGTGGATCAGTGATATAAACTAAAAATATATCCACTTCGGTAGTTACAACGTAGATAATTTGCATATAAAATAATGTTATTGGTCAAATTAGTCATATAAAAAGTTATTATATTCCTAATTGATAATCAATCATAAGTCTTACTAAGTTAATTATTATTTATAAATTGAAAAATTTTTGTATAAATATAAAGCGCAAAAGTGATACAGGTTGAATCGGGAGACAAGTTTCCTGATATGTACCCATTATTCAGCAAACTTATATGATCATGAAAAAATTTCTTCTTGTTATTTTTTTCATGTATTACGATATAATTATGTTATTTCAATATTCAAAAAATAAAACTCAGTGACTCTCTACCAATCATGATTATAAATTACCGGATAACATCAATATTGAGCAAATTGTTGAATACAGTAATTCGACAAATGATTGGCTACACGTGCCACTTTGCAGCATGTGCTCATTTGCCAAATTACCGTTATTCGACAATTTTTGCCCAATATTGTATACATATGCTGCCAATATGCTGCATGTATTTGGCGGGTTTATGGCAGACTAATAGGTACATTTCGGGAAACTTTTCTTCTAGTACGTATGCGCCTGATATTCATTGATTCAACCTGTGTGAATTAATAAAAGTTCTTCAGTTTATATGAAAATTTCAGAATATATGCAATTTATTATTTTAGACAACTTTATTTAAAATATAAATATTTATTGACTTAGTAAAATTTTTGACTTTAATATATAGCTACGATTATCGATTATATTTTAATTTTGTTTGACGGCAACTTCTGATTGGCTAAATGGCAATAGAATATTAATTAACTAAATCATTTAGGTCATTTCAAATCATTTATCATTACTGCCTAGTCCAACCACCCCAAACAGCGTTTCGGATCGAGCTGGCTTGATTAGGCTCAACTGGATTTGGGGTTAGCTCGATTTTGGCTTGAAAGGCTTGCGAGCTAGTAGTACAAATCATGTAATACAAACCCTGCTTAATTAAGCTTAGAATACATCATACTGATTTTTTTTCTATCTTCTATTCATTTTTAGTGGTTTCAAAGTTCTGAAGATCGTTTGAATCTTACTTATAGTATATATGCTTTTTTTTTTCATAGTGTATTAATTTTAGCGTAAGTAAAAAGGGTATTATAAGTTGAAAGTTCAGAGCTCAAGAAGTTTGAATTTTATTTATATTTTTTTTTATCATATATTGTAGAAGTTTAATGATATCATGATCGAACTGTTTTATAGTCACGCCCATTTTTTTGTAAGTTTTTTTTTAATTTTTTTTTTATATGATTCGAAATATACTGGGTTGGTGAAAAGTAACTAAACAGTGGCCTTTTTTTAATCACTATGATTATCATTTTAATATTTAGTAATCATTGCAATAAATTAAAAATTATTGCAATTTTTAATTTATTGCAATGATTACTAAACGTTAAAATGATAATCATAGTGATTAAAAAAAAGTCACTGTTCAGTTACTTTTCACCAACCCGGTATGTATTATGTGCTCCACCCCTGCACACAACTGTCATGACTAACCAATACTTAGTTAGAGTCACGTCCATATAGTTATTATATAATGGTTATTAGTTGAAGTTTAAGATCATAAATGTTTGAGTCTTACTTATATATATATATATATATTTATATTGTATTAGTTTAGTGTAAGTAAAATAGTTATTATTAGTTGAAAGTTTAGAGCTCAAAAAGTTTGAATCTTATTTATATATATTTTTTTTTACTACACATTGTAGAAGTTTAATGATATTATGATCGAACTGCTTTATAGTTACACCTATTTTTTTGTAAGTTTTTTTTTACTTTTTTTTTATATAATTCAAAATATATATGTTATGTGCCCCACCCCTGCACACAACTGTTGCGACCAACCAATACTTAGTTAGAGTTATATCTATATAGTTATTATTAGTTGAAGTTTAAGATCGTAAACATTTGAGTCTTACTTATATATATATATTTTTTTCATATTGTATTAGTTTAGTGTAATTAAAATGATTATTATTAGTTGAAAATTCAAAGCTCAAAAAGTTTGAATCTTATTTATATTTTTTTTACCATGCATTGTAGAAGTTTAAAGATATCATAGATAATCAAACTGCTTTTAGCCATGCCTATCTTTTTGTAAGTTTTTTTTTTAAATTTTTTAGAGTCACATCTATATAGTTATTATTTAATAGTTATTAGTTGAAGTTTTAAGATCATGAACGTTTGAGTTTTACTTATCCCTTAAATTGTAACACAGACAAATTTGCCTGCGAAGATTTTTACTAATTTTTTTAATATTTAAATTTTTTAA